AAGCAGGGCTGTAGTTACTCTCTCACATAGTACTACTTGATTCGGGGAAGAATACTTCTTGCCATTACTTCCATACCATGTAGTCAGGTCACTTTATGTATGTCATTTCTAACCCAGGTAATAACCCTGCAAAGTACTCTTTATGAATAGTAAAACCAAGTTATTTTTACAAGGAAAACCAAAGACTCGACATCTTAAAATACAGTAACTTGCTTAGGCTACCAGCTCAGACTAAAATTGAAACCCTTACTTCAGCCCCATATAATTTACATTTCACCAACACTTCTCAACTTCAGTACACAGGCCTCAGAAACATCTCTGAGGTAAATTGTGACTTATAACTAGGTTAGTGCCTGCAGATGTTAACAAACAAATTGGAGCATATTCAAGTTATTCTTGTACTGTCTCCCTCAATTGCTTCCTAAATGGGAGAAAAGTGGGACTGCAGCCACTGATCCAGGAATTTCTCATACCTTTAGCCTGTCTTACCCAGGCTAGAGCCCATGGTGAGTTACTGGTGTAGTGGTAATAGTTGTGGCTAGTGTGAATTATTTTGGTACTTTGCTTTCCTAAAATTACTTCGGGATTTACCAAAATCTAGGTACTATTTCCTGTGAATGTCTAGGATGTAAATATCCTTGAAGGAAGGAAAAAAGGTAAAAAGGAAAATAAGAAAAACAGAAACAAAAAGTGGCACATTTGCTAGTGAGAAAAAGAAAGAAAAAACAACTTGAGCTCTTCTTTTCCCCATCTCTTTCAAAAAAATAATTGCTAAAGTCAGAGTGTATGAATTTTAGTCAAAGGAGAACTCTGGTTACATGATAAACTACTGTATACCAAAAAGAATTTGGGAACAATTAAATATATTCTAGAATCAGTTTTATTTTTTTGGTCAATTTTTGTTTTCTTTTCAGTATAAGTTCAGAAGCGGGCCTAGAAATCGATAGCCAGCAGGAAGAAGAGCCTGTTCAGGCATCTGATGAGTCAGATCTCCCCTCCACCAGCCAGGATCCTCCTTCTAGCTCTTCTGTAGGTAAGTTCTTGCTACGGTATGACTTACATACATCAAATTTGTTTGAAAAGACACTTTTATTAATACAAGCCAGGGCCAGGGATATAGCTCAGTGGCACAGTGCATGCCTGGCAAGCACAAGGTTCTGAGTTTCATTCCCAGTATGAAACAAAAAAAACAATAAATTAGTAATCTTTCCTGTTTTCTGAATGTTAAAATTCATTACTTAAAGGGGAAATTTTATCATTAAAGGAAACTTGATTTATCTTTGCATAAACATTATTGTAGCTCTATTTTGGCATTGAAACTCAGAAACACACAGACACAGTAGATCCATTCCGAAAGAGTAGTTCACTTGTACTTCATCTAGATTAATAGTTGTTAACACATTCTGTAAAGCTCTTGATTGTCCAAGAGGCTCGGCGCCACTTATTAGGGGGTAGCTGTACTGGGAAGCAAGGAAGCTAACGAACGGTGTTCCCGGCTTCCGGCCTCTGTTGATTTGAACCAGAGCATTTTCATTTTTGTTTGGCTGCTATTTATTACATTTCTACATGAGATTGATAAAGAAACTTGGTGAGAGCCTGCTGCTTCAAAAATATCTTTGAAGTTTACTAAAATTTCAGAGTTCGGTTTTTCAAATTCTCAAAGTTAACTTTGAAAAAGAATATTATTTATTGCCTATAATAAAAGTTTCTTCTGTGGAATTGTTTAAGACAGTAGCAATTAGCGTTTATTTAGTACTCAGTATTTCAGGTAGTATCCTAACCCCTTTACATATATGAGGTATAATTAAAACATAAGGTAAATGTTGAAATTTTTAAGAATTTTTTATAGTAAAAGTATATTGTCATTAATTCTCCTTAAAATACTTTCTCTTACTGTGAATATCTTATCCCATCATTCTTACCACTTTCTGAAGCAGCTCTGGAGGTCTTCTTTTCATGAATGTCTTTAGTTGTGCTGTTACACCTCTTTTATATCTTGCATCAATTCAACATGTTTACCTTTCATGGTCAGTTTGACTTTGAGAAAGAGCCGGAAGTTATGTGGTGCCAGATCCAGTAAATAAGGCAGATGAGGACTCACTGGAATATTTTTCTTTGACAGAAATTGCCCTAAACAGTTGATCAGTGAAGTGTGACCAAAATTGAATATTTAAATTTAAAAATCTATTACAGTAAAAGATGCATTGCCATTATTCTCCCTCAGAATACAATCACTTGAACACACTTTTCCTATCACTGGGCAATGTCTTCTGGTATAATTGGCTTTTTTCTTAATGTAAACCTTTGTCATAGCTTTTAATTGCCCCTTGTATTAATTATTTTGACTCTCACGACAATCCAGTGGGCACGGTGATATACACATATAATCCAAGCACTTTTGGAGGCTGAGGCAGGAGGATGAAAAGTTCAAGCTCAGCTTGAACAATTTAATGACTTAATGAGACCGTGTCCCAAAATACGAGAGGGCTGAGTATGTAACTCAGTGTGAAGACTGGGTTCAGTCCTCAGTACTCTAAAAGGAAGGATGAGAGGGATGGAGGGAGGGAGGAAAGCTGAGGCACAGAAAGAAGGAATAACTTCTCAGGGTCACATAACTATTAGTAGTGGGAAAGCCAAGAAGGAAATTCAGGAAGTTTGGCTGCAGAGATTCTACATTATGTAATATATTAGTTTATTTGTGTCAAAATTTTTAAGCAGGGAATGACCTTTATCACTGAGGAAGAACAGTACACCAGTCCGACTATTCTCATTTTTAATTGTTTATAGCCGAAAAAAATCTGAAACTGCCATGGAAGCTTCAGATTTTGTGACAAGCCCACTTGGTTATTACATTTTATAGTCATAGAATTTAGCTATCCCAGGATCTCTTCGTATGTATCATAGCTGCTTTTCTGTGATACATGAGCCTGTGGGCCAGAATGTCTTGGTTTAGATCTCTTATCACCTTTTAATACTTGGTAACTTTCAGTCTCTGCACATTTTATCATGAAGTATAGATATATGTAATGTGATGCTCAGAGTTAGAAATCACATGTATAAATTATTCAACTTAGTGTTTCATACACAGGTTTTAAAAATTGTAGCAGTAAAAATTGTAGCTTCATAATTTTTTTTTTTCTTTTTTGGTACCGGGAATTGAACTCAGGACCTTACGCTTACCAAGCAGGCACTTATGCAGCTGAGCTATATCCCAGGCCCATAATTAAACTACTGCTACTTAAGTTCTGCCTCACCAGTTATATTCTGATGTACTGTAAGAATTATCTTTCACCAAGGGGGAATTGACACTTATCTTACTAGAGCTTTCATGAGAAAACAGTGATTGTTATTCCTGGTGAAGAAAGTAAGATGCCCTTAAATCTGATAATGCAAAACACTATGTCTCCCCATCTGGATAGTTGTTTATTTGGTCATTAAATGTTTGAATTTCTACCATTACTGGGCAGTCTCACAGAAAGTGTTACCAAGAAAGTGACGTTTTAAGTAAAGACTTGAAGGAGAAAGGGATCAAGGCTGTAGAGTTGTTTGGAAGAAGTGTTCTAGGTCAAAGGAAGTGACTAATGCGAAGTCCATAAGGCAGCACTGAGTGTCTCCTGTTTTCAGAATCAGCAAGGGGGTCAGTATAGCACGGCTGGAGGAGAATGAGGGCAAACACTAGCAGGAAATTATGATAAGAGCTGGGGGGGCTAGATCAAGTATATTTTTGTGATTGCCTGGGTTTTACAGATACAGAAAACTACTGCAGGGTTCTGCACAGAATAACAATGTGATCTGGTTGTCAGTTTGGCTGTGATATATAGAAGAGCCTAAAAATGAATAATGGGCAAAAACAAGGAGAACATGTGGAGGCTATTGCAGAAATTCAGGGTAAAGGTGATACTGGTATGCAGAGGATGATAGACATAGTGAAGAGTACTCAGAATTAGGTTACGAATTTCAATTTGTGGTGGTAGGATTTGCTAATTGGATTTGAAGTATCTGAAAATGAAGTGTCAGCTAGGTGAATAAATTTTAAAAGTCAAACTTTTTTTCCAGATAGGTTTTTGTTTTACTTTTTAACCCTTTCTTGTTAAATATTCTTTATTGTTAAAAAGCAAATTTGAATATTGAAAGCAAATGAACACGTCTTTGCCCATGCCTTTATGTAGTAATTAATTCTGCTATTGTAACTGCTTCCTTGTTCTTGTTTTTTTTTTAATGTGCTTTTCTTGTATCTTAATGTTTCCCTTAGATACTAGCAGTAGTCAACCAAAGCCTTTTAGACGCGTAAGACTTCAGACAGCACTGAGACAAGGTGTCCGTAGTCGTCAGTTTAACAGACAGAGAGGTAAATTCCTGACATGATGGTACACTAGACTATGGGATAATAAGTAGAACAAGTTCTTTAATCATAAAGCTTCCAATTTATTTTTTCAAATGTACCAAGTACTACTTAAATAGTATATAGTGAACATTTGATATTTACTAACCAGGAAGCTTCTTACGGAAATCTGTATACCATACATATATAATGAATACAGGCTTATACTTTGATTTCTTTCTTAAATCCAAATATTTGAAAAATCTGAAATGTTAATAGTGCTATATGTTCATTGTAATTTATTTTTAACAGTAAATTTTATATGACAGAATGAAGCTTTGTGACTTTGTTATACTAGTTTAAAATGTAAAATTTTAACATTTCCAGGTTTTCTGATGTCATTATTAGATTATATTCATATCATAAAAATATTAGTCCAATTATTGTAATGATTTCCATTGAGCACATAGAATAAGTAACAGCTTTATATCTATTATGTTCAGATATTTCATGTTATAAATCATTCTTCCTTTTGGTCTCTTACAGGTGTAAGCCATGCGGTGGGAGGAAGAGGAGGGATAAATAGAGGAAATATTAATTAAATGATCTGTAAACTATGATAGCTGTGAATAAGATTGTCAGATCTGTTTTAGTGTAATGATCATCAAGTTGAAAAACATTTTTGTATTTAAATTGGTATGTTCATCTCAACATTCTTTATTAATAAAAGTATTTCAGTGTCAAACTTTATTGTCTCTTCTTTATTTTACTTAGTTGACTCTTCTTTGTTCATCAGTCTAAGGACAGTTGTACCAGACTTTGGAGAGAGTCTGTCCAGAACGAGTAGTAATTGCTCTCGCTGTTCTACTAGGCACATCGATGTTATAGTATCGATCTGAATGGAAGAGAAGTCATTGTTTTATTTAAAAGGAAACAAAACATTTGAACTCAGAAACAATTTGAGTTGATTAATATATTCAAAGATAATTTAGCATTTTTATAGCAGAAATGTTTTTATTAATTTTGAACTTTCTGTCAAAAAAGATTGTCTTGATGGACTCCACTTTCAACATCTTTGTGTAAAATTAGACTCAACTCTCTTGTTTGAAAAGTTTAGAATAACCAAACAATAAAAAAAATTGTACAGTAACCAAGTTATTCTGAAAATAATTCACTTAGGATTTTTAAAAATACATTCTGGTGTCATTCATACTGTATTAGAGGCAGAATAAATTAGATCCCTGGGCTTTTCATAGAGAAGTATCCTGGAGAGTGAAATTTACGGTCTTTCTGACCCTGTGGGCTATGCAAAGACACACATGGCTTCTGTTCAGTGACTCAAGTGATAGAGGGAAAATACTGTTTTCAAGAACAGTTTTACCCAAGTATTTATTTGTTGTATCATAATATGAAAGGTAGAATTGACTTGCAGTCCTCTCCAGTTTAATTGAATTTTAAGTGAAAAACTATCCCTTCACAGCTGTTAAAATAAGTATTATAGTTGAACTCATTACCTTTAGTTACCATTGTGCTTGGCATTTTTGCTTTAATTATATTCATACTTTCACACATGAGATCAACTCAGGAAGCTATTACGATTCTATCTAGTAACTTACCTTTGGAAAAGGCATAGTAATCATAGCCATCAGGCCTTCTAATGTTGGGCAGTGTTATAGCTGAGGTAACCACATCTGGAAATCCTCTCCACATTGTACTCAGTTTAACTTCATTATGGAGGAAACCTGTAGATGACATTTTTAATAAAAGCTATCAAATTAAAAGGCAATTCACAATCTTGGAAAGAGCTAGACAAACCTGGATTTTAATCTCAGTTTCTTTCACTAAATACCTCCATTACTTAGGTGAGTTAATCTCTGTGTCTCAGTTTTTGCCCTGTGAGGTAGCACTGTGCCTACCTTTCTGGACTATTTTGAGGGTTTGGGATTTGTTTTACATTGCTTTGGGGAAGAGGAACTTGGTAAATAATGTTATTAGCACCCTTAAAGAACTGCTTTTCCTACCCACAAAGAAAAAGATTTGATCTTTAGTTATTCACTAAGGCAAATTGATTTGCATCAATAAATTTAAACTACTTGGCTATTTGGTCAGTATTTATGCTTAATAAGCCTTTATGAGAATATATCACATCTACTTTGTAGGAATTTTTAATGCAATTAAGATATTACCTTTGTCTTGATAAGCGACTCTGGCAGGAGAATAGTGAATTCTGATGGTGTGTGTTTGAGCAGGTCCTACAGCCCGTTCAAAACGACGTCTCCTAACCTGTGCCGCTTCTCCGTACACTGAGTAATTTATAGCAGGCCTTCTTCCAGTGCACTTTGTGACGGGCTCCTGTTTATATGTATACTGCTGAATATTGCCACCTGATACATATTAGAAAATCACACAGAATGTGAAAATTTGCGTTTATCCACTCAGCAAATATGAAAAAACCTGAAGGAAATTATTAGAATGTTTTGAAAAATAAGTTCAGATACAATTGATGGCTATACATGAGAGTATTATCAAAATAACCATTAGACCTTGGAATACATGTTGAATGAATAAATCCAACAAATTGCATAGTTATATATTTAACTGAAAATAAGTGATGACTACATCAAGGCTTTAACATGGATGAAGTGATAAGCATGTCAGAAGATTTAAACACTTAACTGCCCTCACTTTTTGTTGAAGTACTTGATTCTAGTCATAAAAGGTACCTTTTGACAGTAGATTCAGTAATAAATGAAAATATTGAATAAAGATCATTATAATTTTTTGTAACTTTGTCGGTTATATAATACATACCTCTCTTGAAAAAATACACAGATTCAGGTCTGTTCTTGTGTTTAGCTATTGAAAGGGCTGCTACTACTTTTCCCGATAGCCCTCCAAATCCTTTAACAATTAATTTAGGATACCCTGGATCCTTTATATCATTGGTGAAGCGCCAGTACTGTGAATCCTGACAATTGAAAAGAGAAAATGATGTTGACAGCTTTGGTGAAAAAAAAAAATCAGAAATCATTTGTACACTTAAGTATAGGGAGAAAGTGTTAGCTTAGTTAAATGTCCGAGTAAGCGGGCCATTCATGATACCAAAATAAGAGTCAGTTTGCTGATAAAATGTTCATGAAGATATGGAGACACTACTAAATTGGGAGTTGGGTGATTTTTGTTGTAGTTTATGGTTACTATTTTCTGATTTCACTCTTAAAAGTATTTTTGTTACCTTAAAGAAGAAAGTTTTTCCTTCACAGTTGCATCTAGTAAAAACAGTGTCAATAGGGGACGGAATACCCCAAACTTCAGTGATTCTTCGAGCTGGAGATGGTGGGCTGAATGGATTTAGCATCCAGAAATAATGACCTAAAATAAAGATTTATGTCAGCCTACAAGCCAAATACTGAAACTCAGTCCCAAAGAAACCAGAATGAAAATCTTGTAATGGTTATTATAAAGAATGGATTGAATATGTTAAGAAGATGGAAATAACAGATGCAGAAGAGACTGAATATTTCTGAACAGATATGTCTCAAGTATGAAGTTTAGCATAACCAAATAGTTTTCTAGCTCCTCTAGTAAAAGCCTTTTCACTATGTAATGTAACAGGAAAATCAATTCTCTCTGGATTTCAATGTCTTTATCTTTTAGAATTAAAGAATTATAATTTAATAACTACTAAGATATAGTTAGCCTCTACTGTGTATGATTTCTGCTCAGATTAAATGTAAAGACTGTATTAGCAGAATCTGCAGAGAATTTATGTGAAATATCTGCCATTGTCATTTTCTGAGGCTAGCACCTTGAATACACAATTGAGTAGTTCAAGATCTTTGTCTTATTATAATGTGTCTCATTTTGTTTGCCCAATATTTTGGTAATAAGTTTTAGGTTCTCAGAGTGTGAGATAGATTTGTTCATCAAGTTCCCCTCCAGAAAGTTCAACCCACACTAGCTATCTCCCATGAGTTTGGTTCTCATAAACACCAGAACAAAATAATAGGAAGAAACGAAAGTATATATGTCGCTCACCTCGAAATGCAACTAATGTCCCATTGTACAAAGTGGTCAGTCCGTCTACTGGCTTACCATTGCATAAATTGGTCTCATCTAAAACAAATAAAAAATGGAGAACACAATAAGAAAATGTGCTTTTCACCTCCTCTCATAGGATTGTTTCCTGTTTATCTTGTTAAGCTCTGGAAGGGCACAATTTGAAGCATTTACATTTTAGAGATGAAAAAGAGTTGATATATTTCAAAATTCCATCTTACCTAAAGGTGATACTATTCAAAAATATTAAATAAAAAAATCTGAATGGGCCAAGTTGTTTTGCTCTCAATGTAAGTTACCCACTTTTTGTACATTTAAAATGCTGTTTTTAGTCTTTGCTTTTTTGATTGGTTTGGAAAAAGAAATAAGAATAAAACTTTGCCTTATACTTTCTTTTAAGGGTAGATTCCCAACTAAATTTTTTTTTTTTTTGATATTCTATAGACCATCTCTGCTTCTTACAGATAGCTAAACTAAATGCTTAACCGTGCGTTACTGCTCGGTTGTCTGAAAGTTAAATATGCTTACTATACTTACTCCTCTGCTTGCTTAGAGGACAGCTGTAAAACTTCACATATTAGCAAAGTTGGGTTCTAGATAATGTATCTCAGTAGAGTGATACTAAGTCAGAGCATTCTGGTTACAATAGGGAGAAATTAACATCAGTTTTAAAATGAAAGTACCTGATATTACCTGAAAGCATGGAATTGACGCCCGTTCCTGGATAGGCTGGTCTCACTAAGTGATCAGTTCCTGCAATAATGATAGGTGTTAACACTGGGGTCCTGAGGATCACGTGAGGTTTTTCTCCTTCAGTACCAAATGCATCTTCGTTCTTTGGATTTTCTTCAACTATTTCTGGATTTGGAGTTTGATTAGGACTAGTGGTGGTTTGGATCATGAATTTTGCCAAAGAGGTAGGGTTTAATTCAGACTTTGGTGTCGTCTTTGGGGGAGTTGGTGTTGTCTTTGGTTTTTTCACTCTGGGTATGCTTGGCTTTTTAGTAGAAGGTTTTTTGGGTGTTTTGGCTGGGTTTTTCGTAGAAGGCTTTTTGGGTGCTTTGGTTGGCTTCTGGGGTTTTGGAGTTGTTGCTTTGGGATTAGTAGGTACATCTTTTGGTCCAATGGTTGTTTCCTCAGGCTTGTTCATACTCTCTTCAGTTGTAGTTACTTTGGGTGCAAAAGTTGTTGCTTTCAAAGTAGTAATTTTGGATGATGTAGTATCTTGAGCTGTAGATGTTACTTGCATGGTGGTAGTTGCTATTTTGGATTCAGTCTTTTCTTCTGCTGTAGCTGCTGTCTCTTTTGTTGTGATCTGAAGTGCATCCATTCCAGGTGTAGGATGTATTTCTTTTTCTGTTGTTTTATCTTTAGCTGTTGTGGTCATTTCAGGTTTGGTCACTGCAGTAGTCTTGGTGGGTGGTAAGGCAGGCTCCTTGGGACTTTCGTTAAGAGCTTTTGGTGTTGGTTCTAAAGAAAACTCAGGAGTTACTTCAACAGATGTCTTCGGGGTGGTGGGAGGCTTCACGGTAGTGGTTGGAGCTGATGTCTTATGAGTAGTTGGGGCAGGCTCCTCAGGGGTAGTGGGGACTGGCTCTTTAAATGTAGTGGGTGATGGCTTTTGGGGAGTACTGGGTGCAGATTCCTTGGGAGTGGTGGGAGCTGGTTCCTTGGTGGTTGTGGGTGTAGGCTTTTTGGTGGCAGTAGGTACAGGCTCCTTAGGGGTGGTAGGAACTGTTGCCTTGGGAGTGGTAGATACAGCCTCCTTTGGGGGTGTAGGAGCTGGTTCCTTCATGGTGATGGTTACAAGCTCCTTGGGAATAGTGGGAGATGGTTCCTTGGGAGTGGTAGGAGTGTGTTCCTTGGGGGCAGTGGGGACAGCCTCCTTGGGGGTGGTGGGAGCTGGTTCCTTGGTGGTCATGGGTACAGGCTCCTTAGGAGTGGTGGGAGCTGGCTCCTTGTTGGTCAAGGGTACAGGCTCCTTAGGAGTGGTGGGAGCTGGTTCCTTGGTGGTCGAGGGTACAGGCTCCTTAGGAGTGGTGGGAGCTGGTTCCTTGGTGGTGGAGGTGGTGGTGGGAGCTGGTTCCTTGGTGGTCGTGATTACAGGCTTCTTAGGAGCGGTGGGAACTGGTTCCTTGGTGGTGGTGATGGTAGTGGGTAAAGGCTTCTCTGGGGGGGTAGGAGCAGGTTGCTTGGGGGTGGTAGAAGCTGGTTCTTTGGTGGTAGTGATGGGTACAGGCTCTTCAGGGTTGGTGGGAGCTGGTTCCTTGGTAGTGATGGGTATAGGCCCCTTAGGGGTGGTGGGAACTGTTTCTGGGGGGGTGGTAGGTGTAGGCTTCTTCGGGGTGGTGGGAGTTGGTTCCTTGGTAGTAATGGGTACAGGCTTCTTAGGGGTAGTGGGAGCTGGTTCTTGGGGGTTGGTAGGTATAGGCTTCTTAGGCGTGGAAGGAGCTGGTTCCTTGGTGGTAGTGGGTACCGGCTTCGTGGTAGTGGGTGCAGCTTCCTTGGAGGTGGTAGGAGTTGATGCCTTGAGTGTTGTGGGGCTAGGTTTATTGGGAGTGGTCACAACAGAAGCTTTGGTTGTAGTTTCAGCTTTGGGTGTAGGTTTAGCAGGAACTTCAGGTGTGGGTACAGAATCTTTGGCAGATGTTTTCTCTGAGCTCCGTGTTTCTTTGGCTGAAGTCGTCTTTTCTTTTGCACTAGCGGAAGTCTCTTTATTTGTTTCAGTAGACTCTTTAGTTTCAACAGTTCTCTCTTCCTTGTCTGATGGAGGTGTTTTCTTGGATGTATCAGGAGTAGATGGGAGACTGGGTTTAGGAGTTGTTGATTTTACCGTTGTACTCTTGGGAGATGTGGTTACTTTATTGCGTTGGGTGGTAGCAATGTCAGGAGCTGGGGTGAGCTTAGAGTCACCACTGTCCTGTCCGCTTCCATTTTCATCGACAGCTGGTGGCTCTGGGGCAGGTTCCTTTTTAGGAGTTCTTTTCTTATTATCTTTTACTAGGAAAAAAATAACACATCATTATTTTTAATAGCTTTGTAGTGACATAAAGATCTCATCTTTATCACTGATAAAGTCATCTTTATCACTAGTTGTGTATATCTAGGCAGATTGCTAGCCTTTAATGTGTCCATTGATTTTATTATAAAACTAAATACTCAAGCATCTTTCAGGACTGAGTGAGATAACATATTAAATGCACAGGTAAAACCCTAAACAGTTAATACTGTACTGCACTTGGTAGCCAGTGGCAACTTTGAACTCTCCAAATGATCAATAACACTAATTCATCTTTTTATAGGAATGTTCTTCATGTCTCACTTTCTCCATCCTCCTTCCCCTCACCACTCAGGGCTGCCCCTTCTTCCTGGAAACCTGGTGCCAACATTTTAGTTTCACCACACCAGCTACCTTACAGCTGTTAGGTGCTGTCTGTCCTCTGCCCAGCTAAACATGACAGTCTAGGACTGGCAGAACATTAGGATGCCAGGGCATCAAAAAGACCATTAAAATAGATTTCCCATGATGGCTTGCCCCTGCTTGAGCTTCAAAGCCCAAAGGGCACTTCACAGATAAATACCATTTATTAAACGAATATATTGCTATTGTATATAATCTTGAATGACAAAAGATTCAGTATCTGGCTATTCAGCTGGAGAATCTGCTTCAGAGGACATCAAACATCTAGGAAAGAGAATTCTTCAAAAATCCACTCATAATTTATTAGGGAAATAATAAAGGTTTATAAAATATGTGCAATAATTCCAGGGAGGCTTATAAGAATTTAATGGATTAATATTTGTAAAACATTTAAAGTACCGTATAAGTGTTAAACAAAATAAAGCTGGGGAAGGAAAAATGAAAACCCAGTGAAGATAGTGGAAGAGGAAGAAAGCAAAATGATCAGGTAGTCAGGAGCCACAGTAGAACATAAACAATAGTCACTCTTGTCAACCTGTTCCTATCCTTTTTTCAACAGTGGCTTCTTAGCATCTTGACACTTATTTCCTATGGAAAGTATTCATTTGGTCCTTTCTAAATGAATTCTATAAAGTTATGTACCACCCTCAAATAATGTGATACTCTCAAATCATTCTACCAAAATGCATTATTTTTAAAAATTATTAATGTGGCATTGATAATAGTCTTTGATCTTTATCAATGCTCAAACCTTTGGGTTTCTTCTGTAATTCTTTATTAGCAGCTGAATTTTTGGAAGACTTGATTTTCCGAATAGTTGAGGAAGAAGAAGAAGAGGAGGAGGAAGACTCCTGGTTTTCAGAAACAGAATGTTCTATAAATCAAATAAAAAGTTTGATCACACCAACTGTGATTAAAAATGCCACTCCCAATACATTAAGAATTGATGACAACTGATCTACAGATATCTTGTGTTCTGTCTTTATTTTATTGGTAATATGATCAAATGCCTTTTGAATTTTTCAGTTAAAGGCAAGGCACCTGAGCTTCTCACACACACTAGCAATAAAACACTTGGCTTTCCCACATCTGCCAAAATATCTCACAGAATCCAACTGCTCTGCAAAGAAAATTGTAAGTTATTTTGATTTTGTCTTTTACATGCCTAGACCCATGCTGAATGTGGTAAATAAAGACTACAAACACCTGAGATATTCTTTGGCTTAAACTTTGACCTAAGGTAAGTCAAAAATGTAATGAGCCTTTCATGATTTATAAGGTTACCCGCTGAGAATACTCATATAGGTAGTTCAGCTACAGGGAATTTCATCTAAGAAATCTGTAGTTGCATCTGCCATCTTCCTACCTTCTGTTATTTCCTCTGATTCTATAACTTTCTTAGTCTTCTTCTTTTTTGGTGATTTGGGTGAACGCTTGGTGGTTGATTTGATGGTTTGAGATGCTCTTGCAGGCGGAGGTGCAGTCTTTGAAGGTGGTGATGTGGGATTATGCACTGAGGCCAAGCAAGACAGTTCGGTTAACATCTGGTTTATATTTATCAGCACTGCTAACTGTGGAAAGCACAGATGCATCCAGTTTGAAGAGTCGATGCTAGGGAAAGCCAGTGCAGGAAGGCTCTAGCCCAACACAACCCCAAACCAATTAATTCTAAGGATCCACTGCTATAAAACACTGATTTTCAAATTGTAGTATGTAAGTTACAGCAGGGAGCAAAGTCTGAGGAAACAGAAGGTTTAAATTCCTGTCCCATGCCTGAATGTTTTTTACCATTTTAACTTTAGGCCAATAGACTAACCTCTTTTGAATTTCATTTCCTTGTCTGCAAATTGAGATGTTTATTCAAGATGATTTCTGAAGGTGTTTGCCTACTTAAAACATACTTGAGTCTATGAGCTTCATCTGTTCAGCCACATTTGCATGATTATAAAAAATAATACTTCATTTGGATGGCGGGATATTCATGCTTTTGAACAGAAAAGTATAATAATTATATATTTCTGACCCTTTCTCAAAGAATATCAGCTAGGGATCATTATGCATGTCTGTAATCCCACCTACTTAGGTAACTAAAGCCTAAGGAGGGTTGCAAGTTCCAGCTTAGCCTGAACAACTTAGTGAAACCTTGTCTCAAAATAAAATTTCAAAAGGGGCTGGGGATGCAACTTAGTGATGTAGAACTTTCATCAAATGTGTATCACCCTAGATTCAATCCTTAGCACCTGGCCAGGCATGGTGGCACAGCCCTGTCATCCCAGCATTGGGGACTGAAGCAGGAGGATTGCTGTGAGTTCAAGGCTAGCTGGGGCTGCATAAATGAGACTTTGTCTTTTAAAAAAAAAAACAAAACACCCAAAATAATTCTCAGTACACCCAAAATAAATAAATACATACATACATACATTTATAGCATTTTAAAAAGGGCTGGCTATGTAATTCAATGGTAGAGTGTTTGCAAAGCATGTGCATGCCTCTCAGTCCAAGCTCCACTACAGCCAGAAAACAAAAATATATATTTTCTCTAATTTAATATGTATTGAAATCAAATGATACCAATTTACCTTTCATTATGAAAGGTGTGCATGAATATTATTCTGCAAATTTCACATTTGCATGTATGCTTTCCCTCAGAGTGTTCCCCTTCCCAATAAACAACTGTTAGTAGTGTGATGTGTCTATTCTTAACCATCCGATTCCTTTTCATCTCTAGACATGAAGACATGGAACACTATTTTTTAATCACTAAACCAGAAGAAAGGGAGAAGCCATTTGAAAGACAAGAAGACAGAGCAGTGGGGACTCCGGGTAGAGAAGAGTTGTGATACATCCTACTGCTCCCACCAACAGCTCTGCAGAACTCCACTGCCGTGGTCTTCATGACCACACCACTGTACCTCAGCCTCTTTCTGCTCCCAACCAACAAAAATGCAAGTACACTACTGTGTCCCAAGTTAAGTAATATTTCTGACATGTACTTGTTAGTGATTTTGGGTACAACAGGAGGCACTTGGGCAGTTGGGAGACCTTCAATTCTTGAAATGTTAAGATTTTTAGATACACAGATATGCTATAAACAGTATGTGTAGCAATCCTGAAATAACTCCATGGATTGAGAGTCAAGAGTTTTTTGTCTTTTTAAATAAAGTCCTAAGGCTGTGGGTAATTCCTTTATTTTCAGTGGGGACTCTAACTGTCTCCATGAATTCTGTAAATGGAGTTACAGAATTGCCTTTGACGCAATTCACCCGTTGTTACACCAAATTTTACCTAAATCTCAGGCATGGCAGCACTTCATAGCATAAAGTACTGTCCTTCTTAAAATGTCCTCTCAGTACTTCCTCACGTTCTAACCAGCTTGCCTCCTCACCCATCCTTGGCCCAGAATTAATTCCTAGGTTTTCTTTGTCTCACAGCCAAAACAATGACCAAGGTAATGAGAAAATATGTATCTCCCATGATGGGGCCTTCTGAAAGCTGCAGGAATGCTGAACTCTGGAGTTTTGATTGTGAGGGTGTTGTCTGCATTATTTTTGGAATCCTTTCTAATGAAAACACTGAACAGTGAAGAAATATCCCTCAGCTCTGCTGATAGTTTTCTACTCTCTCCACTGTTTTAAAGAAGCAGAAGGTATAGCTTTGTTTAAATAAAATATAAGATTATGTAAATATTGCTTATCTTTACTTTTACCTCCATAAATATTCTTTTCTTAAAAAACAAAGTAGAGTTTAGGAACAAATACTTAGGTAAAGGAATCGATTGTTTAAATATTTTTAAAAAATATTTTGGGGGAAATTCTGGAATATTTAAATTAGAGTATTTCTTTATGACTTGACCAGAGCAGATTTTAAATGAGACCATCCTTTTTATCAACTCTATCATAACAGACCTGTATCTGGATAGTGCAGTAAGAATGAAAAGGAACATTTAGTTCACACTTAAATTCTTGACACATTTACATGCAAATTTAGAGACATAGGCTAATTTATAAATTAACTTTTTTGGAGAAGCTGTGTCAATTCTCTGCTTAAATACATACTGAAATATTCAGATCCAAAAATACATAGCACTAAGGACAGTTGACTTCATAAAGTCAGAACCACTAGGGTGAAACAAGAAATCATTGTGTGATGTGTAATTGCTTTTGGTTTAATCTTCAATTGAACCATCTCTGAAGAAGAGAGTATACACATTCAGCCCTTTCCCTCTGACTTGTGCTTCCGGGGCCTGGTTGAGACAAGAGATGCAGCTGCCAGAAGCTTCTTTTCTTCTTCATTTCATCTTTATGAAACAAAATTATTACAGAATAGCTTGTACATTAGTACATTCAATATTGAGATGGACCACATGGTAGACAGTATCAGTCAAGCCAAGTTAGGCACGCAGATCTCGCTGTCCTGAGAAGCACAGACTGCTACCATGGTGCTTACCTGCCGCACAGAATTTGTCATAATCCGGACAGCACTTGCCATACTTCTCGCACTGGGCATCACAGTCACACTCCCTCCCTCGGGCGAAGGACTCGAAGCAGCGGCCTTTACAGGAAAGCTCTACCCAGAGCAAAACAAACATTATGGATTATTGACTAAATACTCCTATATTTAGCAGCCGCTTCCCACCTGAGAGCTGACTAGAATACCAAAGCTGCATTCTCAAGTCTTCTATTTGGAACGTGGAGTGCATCATCCAGTAAAAATGGATGATATCCCAAATGGAGACAGCCCAAGTCAGAAATGCTGACACAGAAATATTCTGTGCCTTTCAAGGTGCCATAAGACATCCCAGTGCTTCCTGAGTCACTTATGTGTACGGATGAAAAACTGGAAGATGTTTAAATAGTGAAATACTTTTCATATGAAATCCTTCTGTTCTTTGCTTCTCATACCATTGATTTGTATTTAATGTTTTTATTTAGAACTGCCTACATATAAATGATTCACTTTCAGGCTCAAAAGACATTTATAATACAAAGACTTTTTTTACTATGGCAAAGGGGGAAAGAGGTAGAGTTGAAAGATTTCAGGCTGAAATCTGAAATCAGGCAGTGGCATATGCCTATAATTTCAGTATTCAGGGAGGTAGGAGGATCACAAGTTTGAGTCTAATCTAGATAATTTAGTAATTCACCAAGACCCTGTCTCAAAAAATTTAAAAACTCTGGGGATATAGCTCAGTGCAAATTCTCTGAGTTCAAGCCTCAGTACAAAAATAATAATAATAATAATAATAAGATTGTAGCCTAATCCCATTGGCGTGGATGATATTAAAAGGCCTGTTCATTTTAAGTACTGGCCAAAGGTACAAGGCTTCCCAAGACCCACTTAAAATAATTACTTTGGCCAAAGTGTGCAATAATGTAGCAGTTTTCAGCTACACATGAAAATTCTAAACCAAAGCTAACTTTTACAGAATTTTAATTATAATTTTCATAAATTGAACATGAAATATTTCTGTGTCAGTAGCAGAGTAGCCAAAATATCATCACTGAAATCTCAGTCCTCATTTAAAATTCAGCTCTGTTGAGTTTTAACTGAAACTCATTATTGAATACTAGTGCTTTATCCTTAAAATTGTCCTTTTCAAGTAATTTAGAAACATGTAAATATCTCAAAGGTCAAATAATACACAGGATTATTCTTATTGCCCATAAACCTTTTTGAGGAAATATTGAAAAGCCCCATCACTAAGCAATTATATATCTGGCTGCTGGTAAAGAATTGCATATTAATAGCTCCTGAGTCACAGTGTTAAGTCTTTATTTAAAACAAGAAGTTTCACTTGGAACTAGTCAATAATTTTGTGCAAGTGGCAGATTTCCAGTCTCTGCACCCCCAACCCCCTTTGATACTATACTTAGGAACAGCGTTCTGCAACATTTATGCAAGTGAAGGAAAAGGCATTGGAGCAAAAGAAGTGAAACAGGGAAAGCAGCACAGCAATGAGCACCAGGGAAAGAAAGCTCTTGCGGAACAGTCCTTCTTGACAGAGGAGGCACCGCTCTCGGGACTTACCTGTGGTGCAGACTTTCTTGAAGTCAGGGCAGCACTCCATGTAGTGTTGACAATTAAAGTCACAGTTGCAGGTGGCATCTCTAGAATACCCTTCCCCACATCTCCCTGCACAGCTTGATAGATCTAAAATTATACAATACTAGGGTAAACATGGCCAAACCACTTTTAGGAAGGGAGAGACCTAATAAGGAGGATAAAACTCATTGACTGGTGAGGAACTATTTTACTGATTGGAAAAAGCTGAGAATGGTGGTGGGTGATAGGCCCAGCTGATATACGGCTGATCTTTTACGTGACCTTGAGCATGACACTTTATCAGATTGAGAAGATAAATACACTGTTGAAAATCAAGCAGAGTATTGGCTTAATCCAAAGAGTAATGTTCTGGGGGAGAAGCTGCAGCTATAGCTAATAGTGAGGCAGGCTGATGTTTTGGTGATTATGAGCAGCCATTCACTGAGCATTGCTGTGCCTGTACTGAGTCATACACTGTGTCTGAACATTGTGAAAATGTTTCCCAGAGGCTATTAGTAGCCCTCTGAGAGATTAAAAAGAGCTGAAATGCTGAAATTTTAATAACTTGCTCAATGATACAGAGTTAGTTAATAGTTCCAAAGTATATGTATTATAGGTTGAATAATACCTACTAATTACTTGTACTGATCTATTTTACTCTTTCTTACAAGTTCCCTTATGTGGACAGCAAGTTGTATGATCATCCTAAATAAACAGCCTATCTAGAATTTGAACTCTGATCCATCTGATTCCAAAGCCCAAACTTTTGTAACCAATTATGTATGATGAGTTTAAAACAAGTTAGTTATGTCAGCATAGGTTTTCCTAGATTTTGTTCTCTTTCATTGGTAGGGATAATAGAGAACACTTGGACTAGTATCTAAGCATGAGTATAAATGTTAGAGTTTTTCTAGACAAACAAACAATATTTAAGGCATAATTGTCCTTCAACAATTTCTAAATCATACATGACACCTTAAAATCCTCCCTGAAAAACCCACAGGTATGAAACAATGGAATTCATGTCTGGAATAGAAATTGATAGGTGCAATGTCCTAAGTCCATGGAAGAATGATGAAACACACTGAAAAAAATCTCAAAGGGAGAGAATCCAGGAAAGTTAAAGTCTTAATACGCAAATAAACAGTAGAGTAGGATCACTTTCAGAACTTTTTGAATAAACGTATGTGCACAGTACATACAAAGTGCATATATAATGTATGTACATAAATACATATATCATATATAATGAAAAAGAATGAGAAGCAGTTTAGAAGGCAAGAGAAGCAGACAAAACAGCATCACAAGAATGTTCTTTTACATTTGGTAGATTTCTGAAATTAGAAATCAACTATCTTTATGGGAACAATTAATTTTCATAGATTAGGTGTTTGTTCTATTTTCATTGCTACTGAATTTAATAAATAATTTAAATTTTACTTGTTTAAAAGAAAATAAAACACAGTGAACAATTAATTATGTTAGAGTAGAAAAGGTGGTTTATGAAATTTACTGGTGCTGAAAGTCTTGCAAAATGAGAGAGACCTGAAGCATCTGGAGATACTAGAGATATCATCATTCCTGACTAAATATTCATATTTGCTTGTTTTTCCATCTTTTCTTAGCAAAGCACTTCTTCAACTATGTCTATGCAGGCAATTATCTCTCAGATTTCACGAGAATTTTAGTTATTTTAGCAGAAATGTCTACTTTAGAAATGAAACTTCATAATAACCATGAGACTTGATTTTTCTTCTCTCACATTTTGCATATAGAAGGGAAAAAAACAAAACTCTAAAGCTGGCCATTATCAGTACTAAACCATCTAAATGTAATGCTAGAGACACTGGCTAGGGTGATCACACTGAGTATATGGTAGCATTCTGTAAAAATGAGCTGTTCATTCAGGACTGACTCTGGGACTATGAATAGCTCAATATTATAACACAAAATAACATTCATATCAGTATAAACCCACATTTGGATGAATAATCCTTGTAAGAAAGAAATAACACATAATTAATAAAATGAAATATGAAATCAGCATCTATATGATGATGCCAAAATGAATTTTCTATCAATAATTTATTTGGTAAAAAGGTTAATTTTATTTATCAACATATAGCCAAAATTATGTGCTGCTTAAATATTGTTCTTTTCAGTTATTTTTATGATATTATATAGTTGAGTCACACAAGTGTCTGTGTTTTTTAAACTTTTGGGAGAATCATAGGCATGATAAGTGCCAAAATTACAGTATTTTATACAAAACCTCCGGGCTAGGAGTATAGCTGAGTGATAGAGTACTTGCCTAAGGTATAAGGTCCTGGGTTTGATCCCTGAGCTACAAAATAAACAAAACAAACAAACGAACAAACAAGACTTTTTGAAAGATTGTGCAATACAGGAGAAAAACATGGTAATTGTAAAACACTTATGAATATACCACATAAGTTTTATGTAATTTTAAGGTTGTACTAATTATCAAATCAAATAAATATAAATTTATAGAAATCTATTTTTGTCATCATGAAAATTAACCAAATGTTTAGCAGTAGTTGTAGAATGAAAGAATTTCTGATGGTTAAAGTACCTTTAGATGAAACTTGCTGAACCAAGAAAACAGAAAGCAGCAGCAGTGAGAAAACGGGAAGTATTTTCCATTCCATGGTTGTTTTCAGGTCCTGCACCCTCACTGCAGATAAAATAAAAGCATCAGAAAGCAATTTTTTAACCTCACCACTAAATAATGTATGTTATACACAATGTTTTAGTACTTGTCAAGATGCAATTTAATAATAAAACCACTCCATTCCTAAGATTTTCAAAGTTAATCAGCTTAACTTCTATAGAAAATATTTGATCACTGTATTTAATCTTATGCAGAACAAGTTATCAAACCACTTCAATCATATTACTGACCATTTTAATACTTATAAATCACCAGAATAGAAAACAGACTTATTTTAAAACTCTATTCAAAATATAGCATGTACTTACAGTGCAAGGTAAAAATCTGTCTTTGGAAAGAAAGTTACCAGCTCAGTAAAATTTAATAAGTATTGTGGAGTTGGTGTTCCAACTTCTTTACCTTTCAGTATAAATTTATAGGTTTCAAACAGGTGAGCTGCATCATAAATACGATCCTTTTCAAAAGTCTCCAACTAGTATCCTTAAAAACCTTTTTCAAACACCTTCAATGAAAACACATTTAATTCCACAAAGCAAGTTAGTTTTGACACTTACCCGTAAAAGAACAGATGAATTTCTCCAATGTCCTGGAGGTCTTATATATCAGGGCAAATATATTAAGATGAACCAATGAGTCCAAAGGTTAGACAAAATCAACAGTGACAACCTATGAAATCAAACTTTCCTCATTTATTGGAAGAAGGCCCAGACGACTAGACTTAGGCAACATCTGGAAAAAACTTCCATTAAGAAAAATGACTACTACAAAATAAATTTAGATTTATTGGTGAAAAAACATTTGTAATTTCTAAGTGAGATGAACAAATTGTTCTGAAATGGCAAATCATTCTGGCAGGCTGTAACTAATGTATCAGAGTGGCAACTTAAAAATAGTCAAATGGTGGTATTTCTCTCCCTCTCTCTCTCTCTCTCTCTCCTCTTCTATATATATAGATTTTCTTTTTCTCCAGTTAAATCTAGAAAATGTGGTTTTGAAATGAATTTAGTATTAGGTTATGTCATTAAATTTCTGAACTACCAATAAATTAAAAACACTGTGTTTCTTTTCTTAACTATTTTCATTTTCCTAAGCATAGAGAACATGCTCTCAATTACCTACAGGTAAATTACCAAAGCTTCCTTTACCAGGCAAAAACCTTAAAAGTGTACTGATACTTCCCTTAGCTCCTTGGTTCAAGACCAGCAGTGTTTGGAAAAGGTCTTGTAAATTACCAAATTATCTTCCTTGCTACAGAGAAAATGTGAACCATCAACCTTGCAGATTTAGGGCAGCTCAGCTCCAAGCTGTACTCCATTTTGATATGGAAAATTCTTGCTCAAATCATGTCTACAAGCATAAATTCTTGTTCATGTCCCAACACCTCTCTAAAGCTTTCCCAGATCAATCTGCATCAGAATTATAGTCAACAAATGTGGTACACTTTATGTAAATTATCTGCCCATTCATCTCCCACCTCCAACAGTCTGATTTTCTTAAGGTCAGCCAACACCTCTATCTTAATTCTATTTCTAATATACAGTACAGTGCTTTGCTGAGTTTGCATATGTAACACATGCTGAGTGAAAAAATCTGTTCTATCCCAGATACTGCTGTGTACCATGCATCTAGTAGATGTTGCGCTTAGTTTTCACAAAATGCATTTAAGTACAATATAGTAGCCATATTTTACAAATAAGAAGATGAAGATCCACAAATACAGGATCTGTAACCATCTCATCTAAAACTCTTTAAGGACTAGGAACGAGAATCAAGATTTGAACCTATGTGTTTGCATATTAAATTCCACCATGTTTCCACAAAACTTCACGTTAGTACATAATCATTGTACTACATTTTACTCCTTCGTATTTGTACATAGGTTTATGAGATTGTGATAGGCATTATAAACATCTCTTTGTTTCCCTAATGCTTATTTCTGGTCTAAATATGAAAGACAGTTTTAGAGACAATCTCTGTCTCTGGAGGGATTGTCTCCCTTGTCCTCTTGACAATCCCTGTCTCTGGAGACTATCACCCCCAATATACAGGAGTTTATCTAATTTAGGTTGCATTTATAATCTTGCCACATGGGCTAAACGTGATAGGACTAGGAATAAAAGCTTGAACTAAACCAGATCAATATGTTTCCTTCTTCTGGAAATCTGGAATTACAATTTAGAGATCATAAGTCTGCTTGTTTATGCAGCTTTATTACATATAAATGTCTGCCTGTGGTCAAAGGAAATAGAAAATGTTCTTTAGAATAAAGAGATAGAAATGCATGTGGCAGCCAAGCAGAGAGTTCTAGTTATTGTCTGGTCCTCGTTAAACTGTTCTTTAGACACTGCTTCTTGTTCTCCATTTTTAACATCAATTCCTCCTTTAAAGCTGAAGCTGGCTAAAGATGCTTTTTGCTACTTAAAATCCTTAATCAGTTCACAGTAGATACACAAACAAATGATCCTGTTGGATGGAGTTGAACCAAATTCTCTTAGTTTTACTGAAGTCAAAAAAGGGCAACAAGAAGCTGTAATTTTTCAGGTGAGACCTTTATAATATGGCTTTATTATTTATTTGAAATGCTTGGACTACACGAACTAGACGTAAGAATATACACATACACACATTCTTTTTTTTTGCTTTTTCTGAGACAAGCTCTCGCTATGTAGCCCAGGCTGGCCTCAAATCCACTGGCAATCCTCAGTGCTCCTGCCTCAGCCTCCCAAATTCTGAAATTATAGGTGTGTGCCACCATGAGAGTAATATACACATATTCTAAATAAAATATGAATTGCTCTATGATTACTGCATTTGAACTATCTGTGTGCTCATTTTTCTCATTTGTGTGAAGTGCATAATAATGGCAAATGACTTCCTATATGGATTGATAATACATACTTATTCTTAAATCCAAGTTTTGGGCTTAGAAAACTGACAGTGTGCGTGAATGTGTGTGTGTGTGTGTGAGTGAGTGAATGCTCACATACAAACACGTACAGACTACCTACCCTGTAACTTTGAACATATTCATTAACATATTCTTATGGCCATCAAGTACCTTTTCTCTGTGCAATGGAGTATGAAAAAGAAAGAAAAACAATTGAATGTCCAGCTCATTAGGTTTCCATTTACCTATGATTTATCTAATTATTATTATTATTATTTTGGTTTTTTCCAGTACCAGGAATCAAACTCACAACCTTGTGCTTGCTACGCAGGCGCTGTGCTGCTGAGCTAAATCCCCAGCCCCTGATTCATCTAATTAACTAGACAAGATTGCTTAGGTACAGCTCACTCTTGAAAACATTTTGTCTGTGAAATGAGTTTTTATAAACTGTACTAAACACTTCCTTCTGTGAGTTTTGGGCCATTTAACCTTTCTTGTTGGTCACACAGCAATTGTCCTAGGTTATTAACTCTCTGGGATGTCACTTCTCATTAAAGATATTTTTCTTAAAGTTCATTTAAACTTCATTGAATTGGGGTAAACATCATCTCAGGACTTCTGTTTTGACTCGTAAGAGGTGGGTAGAAGAGAGTAAAGAGCAGTAGACAGGCCACGCACGGTGTGATTGTGTCCTGCGCACGTCTCGGGGATGATTTTCCAGCGCCCGCTCATCAGCCTCAGTGTCTGTACTTGCCAGAGGCACAGCGCTGTTTTTAGAGAACATTCAAGGGTGTCTGGGGATACTTTCTCTCGTGAGAGTCTTCCAGTCTGTTGTGCCCTTCTGTTTGGTGTGTTCTGTCTCAGTTCCTGCTGTCGGTTGTCACCTTCCCTGAAGCCTCAGTGTCCGCACCCAGTGGCTTCCCTCCCCGTTTCCACATTTTTGCTGTGTTTCATTTCCTTCCAATATCAGCCTAGGAAAAACTGAAGCACATCTGGGGAAAACAGCAGATGCAGCCTTGTTCGTTACTTCCTTGACCTTCTGCACGGTGCTAAATTAGTATACTGAGGAGTTCAAATAACTCCTCTCCTCTCACGGAGATTAGAGACCAACGCACTGGAACCACTGTTCATTCTGTTCAAGGCATTTTTACACACCGGAAAGGATTGTAGGTTTTTACATGTGAAAGTCATGATCAGAAGTCTAATCATTACATCAATAATATTGTTGGATTTGCTTCTGAAGATTGTGGCTGTTTGAAAATTGATCCCAACCTTCTCCACCATTTTTCTAGTTGCCTTCTAGAGATTGTATTCCCCAGCTTCCCTTTTAGGTAGGTGTGATCTTTTGTCTGTGTTTTCCCTGGTGAAAGATGAGTAGAAATGATATGAACAATTTCTATTCTTTTCTTAACTGAAATCTTTTTCTCTTCCTTCTTGCAGACTGGAAGGCAAACATCAGAGACCAGCCTCAAACATGTGCAGGAGACAGCAGTCTAGGGAATGATATTCTCCGTGGGGGTCAGGTGTTCTGTCACTCTCTGAACTCTTCAGCAAGTTTCATAAAAACAGCAATAAATGTCCACTTCAACTGAACAGTTTGAGTTCTGTTAACACAGTGTTTCATCACAGAAATCATAAGAAATTCAAAAATATTTAAAGGAATTATATTCTAATTTTTTTTTGTCTTTTTCGAGACAGGGTCTCGGTGTGCAGTTCAGGCTGGCCTTGAGCTCCCTTTGTAGCCCAGGCTGGTATTGAACTCACAACTATCCTCCTGCCTCAGCCTTCTGAGTGCTGGGATTACAGGCATGCGCCACCATGCCCGACTATATTCTAAAAATTGATTTGTATAACTCTACACCGGTGTAAAAAAATGGACTATTGATATTGGAACAAGAGAGGTAAACTGGTAAGTTGCAAATGGCATGATTGTAAATGCAGAAAATCCCAAAGAATCTGCAAAAGTCTATAAAACCCAGTAAGTGAATTTAGCAAGACTATAGAATATATGATCACTAGCAGGATTTATGTATGGACTACTTTAATGCGCCAACTTAGTTAATAATTCATTCCACTGAATTTTCTAAGAATAAGAATTCATGTATTGAATTTATTCTTTTACTCAATTTTTGAGTAAATTTGAAATTTGAGATAATTTGAATAATTATCAAATACTGCTTCATAAAGGCAAGACTTAGTGTTAATTGCTGGAGATACATGTATGTGCAAGAGAAAATGTCTTGCTCGTAGTATTTCTTGGGCTAGGCAGGGAGGCAGCCCCTGGAGTTTAGATGTCATGTGAAAGGAGGAAGAGACAGCATGGTTGAACACCTGGATGTGAGCTTTGGCTTAGGCCATTGTTCAAATCTCAGCCTCAAAACTTTTTACCTGGTGGGTTTCTATAATTCTCTTTACTTCTCTAGATCTCACTTTCCTAATCTGTAAAGTAATAGCAATAATTCCTGTTTTTATTTTACATGGTAGAGATACATAAAGATAAGAGAGAATTACATTGAATATTAATGGCATGTGCTCAATAAAATTACAGATACTTCAGTTATAGTTATGATTGTTATTCTGTAGCTCTACCCAAACTTCTGTGGAAACAGTGATGAGAAAGCACCAGTGCTACCTGCGAAGTCTTCATTGATGACCAGTGCCTACAGTACAATGGCTCCTACCCAAG